TATCACATAAAATAAAATTTAACTCGTCAAATAAAAACACATGGATTTAGAGGTGGGGATGGACGAGAAAAACAACATGCAGACATCAACTTAACAGAAAGGACAGACAACTGTCTGACAAGAGAGGGGCACAAAACGGAAAAATAGGGGCTTGACGGCACACAGACTGTCATCAAGCAAACAAAGGGGAGTGGAAAGAGTGACAGCCAAATGTCATCATTAAAACAATATTCATCACAGCCGTACAAACATGCAAAATGCAGACGACCGACGGATATGACTTCAGATGAACACCAGATATGCGGCAGACGGGAAGCCCATTCACCAGGAGGACCAAAGTGGATACCAAACCGCCGACAGATGGACACATTACAGGCGCACAACAAATGCCACGGCAACAGTACGCTCAGGACAGGGTACAAACACTCAACACTCGCCAGTTGTCGAGTCCGAATTGAAGCCATCGGAGAGAAGGTGGCCGAAAACGCCCAACCAAATGTTTTAATTTAAGCTTTATTTATTTTTATTTTTATTATAATCATTTTAATTGGTTTTAGTTTCATTTCAACTTAGTTTAATTGTTTTTTTAATTTAAGTTTTATTCTTATTTTATTTTAATTAATTTTATTGTTATTTTAGTTGAGTTTGGCATATTTCTATTTTTATTTCTATTTAATGTTGGTTTAATTTTTTCTTTCAAGTTACAAGACAGTGTACAGACACTCAACACTCGCCAGTTGTCGAGTCCGAATTTAAGCCATCGGAAAGAAGGTGGACAAAAGCGTCCAACCAAGTATTTTAGTTAAAGCTTTTTTAATTTTTATTGTAATTATATTGATTGTAATTAGTTTTAGTTTCATTTTAATTTAATTTTAATTGTTATTTTCATTTAAGTTTTATTCTTATTCTTATTTTAATTAATTTTATTGTTATTTTATTTGAGTTTGGCATATTTTTATTTTTATTTAATGTTGGTTTAACTTTTTCTTTCAAGTTACAAGACAGCGTACAGATACTTAACACTCGCCAGTTGTCGAAACGTCCGAATTGAGGCCATCGGAAAGAAGGTGGACAAAAGCGTCCAACCAAGTATTTTAATTAAAGCTTTATTAATTTTTATTGTAATTATATTGATTGTAATTAGTTTTCGTTTAATTTTAATTTAATTTAAATTGTTCTTTTAGTTTAAGTTAAGTTTTATTCTAATTTTATTTTACTTTATTTTATTGTTATTCTAGTTGAGTTTGGCATATTGTTTTTTTTATATTTAATGTTAGTTTAACTTTTTCTTTCAAGTTACAAAATGATTCGTCCATTTTCTAAAGAGTGTGAAATGCTGGCTAACGCGAAAACGGATATTCGCTCCTTACGCAGCAGCCATGGGCCTGATTGAGAAACGTCTCGATGGTGAGCAGGACGACCCAATTGCCCTAGCAACTGTCGACCTCACGACGTGGCAACAGGTCTGTCTGGCTGGTGGGCTGGCGTTTGGTGCGCATCGTGGCCACGTCGTTGTC